AACCGAATGGAAAGTACAAATCCTGCAGATACCAATGCATTTTTCACTAATCTTAAGAATTTATGGCTCAAACGTAGACCTTCTTCATTTAATTACGGAAATGCGAATAGTATGAATGGAATGTCATTTCAACCACCTCAGCAGATCGTTCAACAGCCTATATTCCAACCGCCTCAGCAAATCATACAACATCCTACATTTCAACAACCTACGTTTCAACCGCCTCAACAAATCGTTCAACAACCTGCATTTCAACAGCCAGAATCTCAACTATTTCAACGAAATTTTCGTCCCAAAACTGAGAAAGCCAAGTACTATGAAGAGTTAAGGAATTATGCAGATATGGGTCTCGAAGCCGAAGATAACAGAGTACTAGAACCGATGGAAATTGATTACACGATAGCCAATATTGCGTGTAAATTAGATCAACTTGAGGGATTGCCTAATCTCCCCAATTCATCAGTAAATCTGGCTAGAGATCCTAGAGTAAGTACTAGGCCGATCCAGCGCAAATGTGAAATTTGCAAAAAGCCGGGACATACTTATCGCAGTTGTCCCATAATTAAGAATATGATAGCTAATAATTCCAAGAAAAAAATTGGTCGCGTGAATTTTGCTGATGGGTTCCAACAAAGCCACTCTGATACAGAAGAAATTCCTGATGAATCTGCTATTTCCGATCAAGAAGAGGATAATATATCCGATGGAGATTCCAATGTTGATGTAGACAGAATTAAAAAAAAATAGAGCGACCTAAGCAAGTACTCAATATGACATCCTCACAAAAGCGAATTTCGAAACGATCCAAAGAAAAGAAAGATATATATTCTACAGAGAATAAGGGAAATCAAATCCCTCTCCAAGGATCACAAAACCCCACTTCAACTTTACTAGAACAACGAATTTGTGAGATAATCCAAAACGAGCTTAGAAATTCTGCTTTATTTGAGAAGACTATACGTGAAATCTTACAAAATTTTCAGAAATCTAGTGCCACAAATGATACTTCTTCTCAACAAATCAAAGATACCGAGGATGAAGAAGTTATCAAAGATATGGAAATTAACTTTGTTCAAGATAAAGATATGATAGATGTTCCAACTGTTCATGGTAAGATCAAATGTCTAGTACTTTCGGCAATTACAGTCAATCCTGGCTCAAATACTTTACTTATGTCTAAGGACATTGCCGAACGCTTGGGTTTAAAAATCGATAAAAGTACTACTCATTATTTCAAGGGGGTGGCCACTGTTCTTACCAAATCTATTGGAATGGTTTATAATGTACCGTTAACCCTAGCCCCAGATTGTATATTTTATTTAGATTTTGTAGTTATTGAATATGATAAGCCTATGCTGTTATTGAGTAATCCCTTCCTTTACCGTCACAAATATCAAATACTAGGAGATAAGGATTTACTGAAGATCGATTGCAACAGGAAAGATTTTTACATTCCAGTTACGATGCACAAGGTTGAAAATAAGCTCGAAGTAAATTGTGCCACTGCATCTCAAGATGATAAGCCTTTGGTATCCGATCAAATTTCTCAAGAGGTCAATAGTAATGAGGGGGGTAATGAACCATTGGAGGATGAATGGCACGCTCCTGCAGGTTTTAGCCTAGATTCTGATAATTCTACTTTAAAAAAAAAACGCATGAGTTATGAGGAGTTAGAAAAATCACTATATGAGGTACTCGAATCCAATACTGAATTAATCGAGCTTAATAAAAAACTACAGGCCTATAGAAATGAGTTTGATATTGAAACAGTATGTAGATTGCAAACTACTCTAGAAAAAACAAAAATAGATTAGTTGGAATCTAAGACTCTTTTCGTCTCACGTTTAGCTTCTTCCCTTTCTTTGTGATTTTGTGCAATCCTAGCTTGTAGGTCATCCATTTCATCTACTTTTTTTATTGGAATATTGACTGAATCAGATATTTGAACAGATCTGGAACCGGATCCTGGTTTTCTTTTCTTTGACTTCTTATCTGAAGTATTATTTTCAGACATTATTTCAGAAGAAACAACACTATGTATTAGTTGCTGTTTGCACAAGGGTATTCCTTCAGCATGTCTTTTCCAAATTTCATATATTCTATGAGTTGAAGTACTATATTTATAAGCCATTTCCCTGCATGCATTTTTAACCGTCCCTCAAGATTGAATGATTTCCTCAATAGCTTCTGGTGATAAATAAGGAGTACCAGCACGATAATATTCTACAGTTATGTGTTCCATCCTTTTTTATAATTATAAAAAATTATCAAAAATTATCGAAAATTATTGAAAATGCTAAAATACTTCTATTTCTCTTATGTTAAAAAATGATCAGTAATCATAGGTAATTACATACTTAATATTCAATAATTTTCTAAAAAAATCGGTAATTATCTATTATTGTTGAATTATATTGGAAGTGTAATTTCTTTGATAGCATTACCAGATAATTATAGCGGAGCTAGTGTCTCTAACTCATATTTTATCATATATATGTTCCATATTTTGTTATTTTTCATAATAATTCTCTTTATTTAATATGGACAATGTGATAGACCTTAAGAAAGAATTATATATCGCCCTCCAAGATTCTTCCGAGATAGTCTCATATAATGCTAAATTGCGGGATAGGTATGAAAAACAAGAAAAAAAAATTAATCGGGAGAGAGAACAATGGGATTGGGATAGAAAGAAGTGGGGTAAAAAACTGGGAGGGTCCAAAGCTGAGAATGATATAAAATCTAAGAAAATTAGATCGCTTGAGTCTATGATTGAGATATTGGAAGGTAAGTTGACTTCAGCCCAGAAAGATGTGATTTCAATTCAAAATGACTCATTGAAAAAAGAATCCGAAAATTTATCTCTCAAATCCAAAATAGCTGAATTAGAAAATATAAAGAGCTCATTGGAATCAAAGGTCAATGAGCTCAAGTATCTGAAATCGGAGGCTATATCAAAACCCATAGTTGGTGGGGATGACGAAAAAAATATGACCAAGCCTGATGATATATCTGCAATTAGTGAACCTAGCAAAAACATTAGTCAATATTTTCTACATGGAAAAAATATGGATCAAGCTGGAAAAATCGATACTATATGTCTTGACACTAGCTCCGCTATTATACCAGATCACACTGATGATAAAAGTACTTCTATACCTGAGGAATCAGTAATTCGAGGCTCACCTCCAAGTGTAGATACTGAGATTATTCCCAAGGTAAGTGATAAAATTGATATTAGCAAAACTAACAACAATATACTCCAAGAAATACCGAATACCCCCTCTTTGATTGAATCAAATACCCAGATGGGACCTGGTCCTGGGATAGGAGCAATCCCTATTGTGGCATATATTTTTCTTACTCTATTAATTATTGCGGTTATGTGGTTTGTAAGACGCACATGGGGATTTGAGAGGAAAAGTGATCGGTTACGGGATATGTGGATTGGACATTAGAAGTTATCTATTTAAACTTCGATTCTGGATGTTCTATATAAGATAACTATTAGTTTTTTTTCAAACTTGAGAGAAAAAAGAAAAAAGAGCACGAAAGTATGAATGAAGCCGAGTTCTTGGAATATAAATGAAACTTTGAGGCTAAAATGAAAGTTCCTACTACTCCGCACAAAAGAGAATTAAAAACCTACTCTTTAGCCCTCATTG